TAGGAATGCTGGACACAAGACATGGATCAGGACTGATGATTCCATTCAAAGAAAAAATGGGGTAAACAAGATTCATGCAGGTTCAGCTTCGAAGTTATATGCTTTATTTAAAAGAAAGAACAAACAAGTGTAAATGAAATATGATTTACTTTTTCCAAGATGATTATCTTACTTATTTATGGCCTGGATAGAAACTGTTCCTCACAACTCTTCCACAACAGTGTCCCTTGAAGGCATTGGTGTCTTCCTTTCTTATCACCTGAAAAGTGTGATTGTTTTAAAAGATGAGACATTTAGGAAAAATTCTGAAACTCAATATTCCAGGGAAGCTTAGTTTGGACTAATTTGGAAACTTTTATCGTGTTTTTTTAAGTTTCTGGTTGTTCACTGTTGAGGTTAAGTTGTTACCTGGGATTAAACCATATAAATGTTTTAGAAATTTGATATACACAGGGATGCATGAATTACACAAACTATTTGCATATATCCAGATATATTTATGATGTTACATGTTGCCTGCAGCTTTTTCACGCTCCCTTGTTGGTCATATATTTATATTCTACAGCACTAGAGGACCCCAAATTTTATACTGGGGGTGCCTTCTTCTTTTATCCCTGAATTGTGGGACACTCATGCATTGGTATTCCTTTCTACTTGAAAGTCCTTGACGCAATTTGCTCTGCCTCAAAGTTGATTTAAATCCGAGACCAAACAGTATGTATATCATTTTAAGGCATGAAAGGTCATCCAGAAAACTTATATTTTATGACATCCATCTTAAGACAAAAGATGACAGATGATATGCAAATTGTATTTGGAAAACCTGTGAAGAGACAAAAGGCAATTAATTTTACAAAAAAAGGCAATAGGTATATATGGTCTGCATAAATTGATATTCTCAAACTCTTACAGTAATTTTGTAAATGTTTTATTCACTCGATTTTATATGACTTGTAGTGATATCTTCTCGTCAATGACAAGTTGGTTTCTTTTACTATCAAATTATCTTTTCAAAACGGGAATATTCAGGCTCATCCATGCAGTAGGTTTGTGAAACTGTAATAAGAATTAGCTAATTTTGTACTTGCAAATAAGTATATTTTATATGTTCATGGTTACTTTTCACATTTATCCTCTTTGTTTAGTTGATTTGGCACTCATGACTTCTGTATGTATGATCCAGGGACAAAAAAGGAAGAGCGCATATTCTGGAGATAACATTAGATAAGACCTATCCCAAATGCCCACCTGTAGTGTCAGCGGTGGGTTTTCTACTATTTCTTTGACATTTGTGGCTTTGAGATCCTATGTGTAATACAAAGTTTATACGTCATGTCCTCAGGATGTGCCTTACAACTTTAATTTAGAATGGTCGACAAACTCAAGTTTAAAAGATGTTGTCAGGCAATTTCAGGAGGTACACTCTAGCAAATTTGTTTAAATTGAGTTAGTCTGTCATGCAGTCAGGTTTCTTTTTACTTTGTTTCTTGGTTTCTTGAGGCATGATTTCAGTTCGCTACTCACTGCTTTGCTTAGCATATGGACAAGCTCCAGGATTTCTGGTCTACCCTGGATGATATTGATCAATCTTTTTGGGTCACTAATCCAAAACAGCCACATCATGCAACATCCTATCGCCAAATCAATCTAGGTTATTGTTGATTTATATGTCTTCTGATCAATCATTTAGTCTTTTACTTCAATCTTGTTCTCTTCCTTTTGCTAATCTCTTTTGTTTTGTCCTCGTAGGAAATGATTGCTACATCATGCTGTCCATAAATGCCAGTGATCCGCGAGCCCTACCAGAGTAGATTTCTATGATTTTTTCCCTTTTTCTTTTAACTATCTTTTACCTTTGGTTTAACTAATCAAAGTCTTGATTCTGGTAGGTGTCGCTTCATGGGTTCAGATCCAAAAGTTAACTTACTGAGGGAAATTTGGAGAAGAAGGTGTAAACTATGGTATATTTCAAATAGCTAAAACATATTAAAATCGTGCTTTGTTGATTCTTTCTAACTTTTTAATAGGAAGGAAACTTTCTCCTGACGTCTATATTAGAGCATTTGGCTGAAAAATTATTGCGAAAGCTACCTATTAGCCTTTGGGTCTGAATTGTGTAACTGTCTTTCTGTTTATTGCAATCTTCGAATGATCTCTAGTTGTGTAAGGTTTCTGGAAATTCAAGTTTATTTATATAGGCTCTGCTTGAAATCACCATAATTTTTTTGGTATTTTAATTACACTCAGTTCTTCATAGGACAAAAGACAAACCATTCCCTGAAAATCTTGCGAGTGTTATGGACATTCAGCTGCCTCAACCTCAACATGTCCAACACAAAGAGGAGCAAATAGAATGTGGCATTTGCTATGCCCAAAATCTTCCCTTAGGTAATGATGTACGATTTGTGTTTGAGGGCAATTTTTCTCTCTCTCTCACATTTAACTTGGGTATTGACATAGATGACGAACTTGGTACAAAGAGTGGGAGTGGAACTGATTATAAATGTGAAAATGCAAACTGCAGTAGAGCCTTCCACAGTGTATGTCTTGGGGACTGGCTCCGTTCCATCACAACCACAAGGCAGTATGTTATGCTGCTTTGATCTCATCATGTTTTATGTCCATGTTCATGACTCATTATTCTACCTACTAGCTTATATTCTGGTGTAACGTTCATTTATAACCACTGCGATGTAGGATGTGTTGATTCTTAAATAGTGTCTGCTCTAGTACCATAGCACATATATAATTGCTAATGTGAAATACGTAGCTTTTTCTTATTGCACTTGGGAAAAGTGGTGAAATATTTTTTTGCTTGGTTTAATGAAAATTTTGGTTAGAAGAATTGAGGAATTAGAGAGAGGAAAAAAAATAATACCAGAAGAGTTTAAAAGAGGTTCTTTTCAAAATATTATAACTTAATTTGTTTATTAAAAAGTTTGGCAAAAAGAATTCATCTACTGTGAAGAGTTTATAGGAATATTTATTTGAAAAAAAGGTCATTAAAGTTTGTATGATTTTGTATATATATAATGTTAGATGATCAACCCCTAATTCACCTCTTACACATGCCAAACAGATTTAATGAGAGGCCATTTCAAAATCGATGTTTCCTTTCATTGCTAAAGTTTCACTTGAGTTCATTGTCCTTTAATTCTAATTTCTTATTGATCAAAGAAAAACAGAACATTACATACTTTTTGAGCAGTCAAACTAGGGGTTTAGGCAAACATAAAAGAAGACTGTTATACAATCACCAATGTGTAGGACAAGGAGCAATCTTTCTAATTCTTCAGTCCTTGCGGAGGAAGGTTATTGTGGATTTAACTGTTGACCTTTTCTTTTCTCGTTGAGGGCCTGGTGGGGTTGTCCTTAGGCCTAATGTGATAAAAAAAAAGAAAGAAAAAAATAAGAGTTAAAAACTGTAAACCTTTTCTGTCAATGAGAGATGTGAGTAGAAAATAATTTCATTTTGGAGTGATCAGATCATGGTGCAAAACATTATGTGGATTTCACATTGAAGGATTGCCTGCAATTGTACATGTTTCCATGTTTGATTCATGAAATCTATGTCACTTTGACATTTTTATCATCTTGTTTTTGTCCATGTGTTGCACTACACAACATAACACGGAACTCTGTCGAACTGTGTAAAACATTTTTGGAGCATTTTACTATCTAGTCAACATATTATAGAGCAGATTCATTTATTTTCTGGAAAAAAAAATTAGAAATCACACATTTTTCCAATCTTTACATTTTCAGTTTGATACAAGTTTTAAAAAGACTGTTCAATGTGCATCTTACTCATCTCGTGTTTTCCTGATTTATTACTCCCTTGTACACTTGTATTGCAGGTCCTTTGGCGTTCTATTTGGAAACTGTCCCTACTGTTCGGACCCTGTTGCAATCAAAGCAAGCACGTAAAAGTAATGTGTCAGAATGTCTGGTCCTCGTCCATCTCGTCTTCCCCGACCTCAGCTGATCGTCGAGCAGCCTTATGCTGGTCTCTACCAACTTAAATGCTTGGTTGACGAGTAGCTTTTATGCCGCTTAACCAGTCCTTTGTGGCTAGTGGACTGACCTTTCAATTGGCGGCCTCTGTTTCCTCGTTTTTGGCTTTCCTCAGGTTTTATTTTTACAGCTAATTTTAGGAGCTCACTCAGTAAAAATGTAAAATATGTTGTAAAACTATAAGGTAATTATTAATGATCATAAATGAGTCTTATCTAATCGAGGAAGTCTATTTTACTTTGATTGTAACTCTTCTTTTTGAACCCTATAAATATGGGGTTTTCGTTCTTTATAAAACACAAACTTGAGTTGAGTTTCGACTCTCTACTTTTCTCTCTTATTTATTATTTTTGTTCTAATATTTCTCCATAGTTTTATAACAAAATAAATAAGTTTTCATTTTTGAATTTTCAATAGTTTTATAACAAAATAAATAAGTTTTCATTTTTGAATTTTCAATTCTCCCTGTCAAATATTCTATTATCCATCAGTGTTTTGCCAATATGAATAAAACTAAAAATGTTCTTTCATGTATGAAGAAGTTAACCCTAGCATTGGAAGCTGTGTGATTATTCTTAACATTTTCCTCTATTTTCCACGATTCTTTTTCTCTTAAAAATCAACTAGACGTGATAATTGATAAAGCAGCAGACAGGTCAGGGGACTGGAGAGCAATTCACAACAAAGTCAATCTTTTCATACTTCTTCCATTGGAACTTTATGTAACATTGTTTTCACAATCATGCAGAGCATGCATTATTGGTTCAAACAGTGTGCAGCAAATACAGATAGCAACGGAAAATGACATATCCCACTCTCTGGACAGTTGGATTCCCACATAGCTATCGATACAAACAACAAATAATTAATTCCCTCTACACCCCTTCTTCTGCATGGCTTGACTTTATATATTTATCTAGGAATCGATCTGTACGTTGGTATAGGTTTTGAAGCGTTTCTTGGTTGGTTGTTTGAAAATGAGGGAATTAAATGCCTGCCATGCATTCCGGTGGGGTAACTGGATACCGCGATTTGTCAGTGCAATAATCGTAGATCAAGTGGTTCAAACGCACCCAACGGTATCGTCTGGCTTCAGCTTGGCTCAAATCTTGATATGCTGCACCCTCCCACCAGTTTTTGGTATTTGAGGCACAGTTTGTGGGACCTGGAACTGGGCATCCCTCAATGTCGAAATCCTTGTAGTATGCATAGAAAGGGGCTTTGCTCCAATCTATTTTCTCGAGCCCTCCTCTTGTCGCCCAGTCATCAGCTTCCCATAGAGTGGAATATACTCCCATGGGTTGGACCTTTGGGTATGGAATTCCTTTGGCTTCATTGTTCTTGTAAACCCTGATGGGCACTTCATCCACATAGAAGCTGCAGATTCACAAAACTAGAGATCATCGAAACACAGGAGAAGGATCGAACCTTATGTTACTGTGGCAATAAAATGATCAACTTACACAACATGACGATGGTTCCACATAATGGAATAAGTGTGGAATTCTAAAGCAGGATCAAACCAAAGGTTAATCCTTTGTTCTTTATCACCTTTCCCATGAGCATATACATTAGTCTGTACTGTGTAAGGCTGTCCGGTCCGATTGCCCAAGAATTCGAAATCTAGTTCGTCTCGTACTTTATCCGTGTCTGAATTCATCTATCAATTCAAATCATTCAAATAACTATAAATACGAGAGAAAATTTGTGAAAAAATGAGAAAATTAAAGAGCAAACGTACATAAAAAGCAGTGACTGTTCCTGCAGAGTCACCCGGAATGAGCTTGATCTTCATGCTAACACGTCCAAATAGATACTTATACTTGGAAGCAAACCCACATCCTAAAATTCAACGCTGTCATTTTATTTTTATGTGACTAATTTTAAGCAAGTAAATGTGTGATGGTTTAAACATTCAGTTAGATAAGATAGTTCAATAATATACATGACTTCTATTTATGAACATCGTGCACGCATAGAAAATGTTACCCGAGTTTTGATCAAGAACAAGCTGAATGGCTTTTCCTCCCTCCATCTGCCTAATGTGGGAGTCCGACCAGGTGATTCGGAAATCCTGCAAAAAAGTGGCCGGCCGTGCAATAACAGAACATGAAAGTGCCAAAACATATAAGATAACACATAAAACTGTGGCCATTTTTCGTGTAGTTGAAAAGAGAAAATGTGGGCTAAATATATATACGCGCACACACGAGAGTATACTGTGGAGAGAGAGAGGGAAATGCATGCAAATGATAAGTGCTTAACAAGATTGGCCTTACCGACAGCTAATATTGATTCGTCGCAGGACCCGCCTTGGTTGGTACCACCATTATTTCTAGATACATTTCTTTTATTTTCAACCATACATTCATCAATAAAATAACATTATACACAAACTCAAAATTTTTCCTTATTTTTTAACCACACATTCTCTATTAAATTACTATTTCAAAATGCATTATTGGCAAAATGGGGTTCAAACCTACTCTTAATTGTTACCTTCTGCCAAGTAACACGTGTCTCTATGCTTTATATTACCACTTATTTTATGTTTTGTATTTACTATTTAACTCTTGCAATCATTCTTGTTACATTTCTTTGTTGAAATTGATGGAAGTTGAATCACTTCACTTTGTCACTCATTAAAATTCATTTTCAACTACACATTTATTGAAATTCACATTTTCTATCATTCAATCACATATTTCATCATTTTTTATCAAAATCTACAAAAAATAAAATTTTATTAACTAAACCAAAATGGAGATTAATCTTCAATGTTAAGATATTGAAATGTTCAATCGACCAAACATACATTATTTCAATGCAATCCACGACGCTACTAAGTTTGGTGAAAATTCAATTGAAACTTTTAATGATTTTTTGTGGTTTAAAAAATTTAAGGGTATTCAACGTAAACTTTTGAAAACTCTTTAAAAATATTGGTGTATTCAATCAAAAATCTTTAGAAGTCTCTATAACTCTTAGGGTATTCAAATTTTTATGACTTTTAGAGACTTTTATAAAAGTTTTCATGGTACTAACTTTTAAGCAGAAAATACTAAAATAAAATCTCAAAATTTGTCTCTTATTAATTATAAGATTTTGGTAAACTTTCGCAAAAAATAAAATAAAATTAATATGTATTTTTTTTTCAATATTTCTCTTTCATTTTCCCTTTTACGAACATTAGAGTTATGATTAAAATTTATTTATTTTATTGATTGTGTTTGTTTCTATTTTTCTCTCTTATTGTTTATTTCTATTTTTTATGAAAGAATTAAATTGTATTCTTATATATTTTTTTCTTTTTTTCATTCATTTTTTCTGAAAAATATCTAATTTTAATTAAATTATAAAATTTTATATAGACTAATTTATAATTAAATTTAAATATATATTTTTTATTTGTTCTTTAAAGGTTTATTATATTAATAATTCTAAATATTAAATTTATTTTTTATATGTATAATAATAATTATTTATTTAATTAAGGTTTTAAATTCTTATTCTTTTTAAAACATGTTTTTTATTATAGGGGTAAATGAAGGAGAAGGAAAATTGTGAGAACAACTACCTCATTTGTGATAATTTTACAATATTGTACTCGATCTACATAAATTCTATCTCTAATGAAAGTCTTCAAAAGTCTTTTGAATTATACAGAAGTCTATAAAAATTTTAAAATGAAAGTATACAAAAGACTTTCACAAATTCCATACAAATCTCTAAAAAGTTCACGAAAATCACATAAGTCGTCACTTAAAAAAGTTCATCAAAGTCTTCAAAAGTCTCAATTGAATACAGCCCCCTAAAGCAGATGTGAACTTGTTGAGAATTGAAAGGCTTTTGTCTGGCTGCCCAAGAAGTTGTATGGAGGTTTAATCCAATCCAATCACTGTTCTCATTTCTCACAGTAGAATGATAGGTAGAGGCTCCTATGTGGGTTCGGGTTGGAAATGCAGGGAGCACGCAATACGACAATTCTGGTGTGATGTTTGGATGGAACTTCAAATGGAACCTAAAGTTGAGACGTGGTTGCAGGACCGCCAGTTAAATTTATTCATATCTTGTAATTGTAATTCTTGTTGATATATTTTTGGGATTTTCGAAAAGTTTGAAAATGTTTCCCACGTTCTAAATTTCTCACCTACCAATTTTGGCGATAATCGATCACACACCTTCAGATAACCTCTTTGATGTGAAGGTTTTATAAAAGAAAGTAGTGGTATTTATCCCTATGCCTCTGGCTGTCATTTTACTGCAGTATACCATCTCAGAGAGGTCTCGAGGACTTAGAAGCACCAAACACGTTCTGAAAATACTGTAACCAAGCTTTAAACTTCAATGGCCAGAGGTTAGTTTTTGTTCTTCATTTTCTGCATTTGATCTATGTATGATAGATCACTTTTAGTCTAGTCTATTGGAAAAGTGTACAATTATTATGACACTATATATACACTAAAATATGACATAATGTTTGACAAGGACAAGTTGGGAGTATATTTAGCCCCCGTTTGATGATCATTATAAAGAGAAATTGAGGAAAAACAATGTTTTGAATAGTGAATTTTTGTAGAATATGTGATTGAAAATAAGTATGTGAAATGAAGATTTTTTAGTTTAATGGAGTCAAACTGGGGCTTATATGTTGAACCAAAAAACTAGCATCCAAATTCGAGCGCGTTTGGCAACTACATTATCTAAAAGCCTAACATTTCAATTTTCATCTTTAACAAGCACTTCGTGTGAGGGTTGAGTTTATTTTTTCATTTAAAACTTAGGTTAAATAACGTCTTGTTAAAACTAAGGTTGGTTGAAATTGTAACTAATTGTAGGAAAAAATATTTTTTCTTTGCAAGGACATATTCGACATATCGACCTCATTTTAGATGATATATAGCCCAAAACGTGATCAGATGTTGTACGTCATACTCAATTCTAGAAATATGAGATGCTAGTCATATTTTTGAAACGTGAAAAAAGTGCCTTTGATATTGTCTGACGGGTAAGCAATTTATATGATATTAATATCGCTTCTTTTTAAAAGTACTAGTTGTACGCCGGGCTTTGATATTTTTAAGGTAATATTAGTGTATTATAGTAATAATATTGTGAAAGGTCAGTAAGTTTTTATCTAATAAAATTTAATAATGAAAAATATTATCTGATAATCCTTGAAGTTCTGAGCTTCAGTTGATCTCTACAAAAATGAAAAAGAGTTTCTATTATTTACATATAAATTACCGATGTACTTTTTTTAATGACAATAATAGATGAAAAGTATAAAGATGAAAAAATTTACAAGTATACTCATTTGTATATTAGTCGTTGCAAGTCTTACAGGGAGAAGTGAAAGAAGGTGTCACCAAAAGTAATCGACTATGGCATTACTGATTTTATGTATTATCCTTTCTTTTTTAGTCCTTGTTTGGTCTATTATTTCTAAAATACATTTTTTTCACTCGTCTCTCTTTTATTTTCAACCATACATTCTTCAATAAAATAACATTATACACAAACTCAAAATTTTCTTTATTTTTTAATCACACATTCTACATTAAATTACTATTTCAAAATGCATTATTGGCAAAAATGGGGTTCAAATTTACTCTTAATTGTTACCTTCTGCCAAGTAACATACTAACATGTGTCTCTATGCTCTATATTACTACTTATTTTAAGTTTTGTATTTACTATTTAACTCTTGTAATCATTCTTGTTACATTTCTTTGTTGAAATTGATGGACGTTGAATCACTTCACTTTGTCACTCATTTTTTAAGATTTATTTTCAACCACAATTTAATGAAATCCACATATTCTATCATTCAATTACACATTTCATCAACTTCTATCAAAATCTACTAAAAATCAAATTTTATTAGCTAAACCAAAATTGAAATTAAACTTCAATGTTAAGATATTGAAATGTTCTATAGACCAAACATACATTATTTCAATGCAATCCATGACGCTGCTAATAAATTGGTGAAAATTCAATGTAGATTTTTGGAAACTCTTTAAAAGTATTGGTGTATTCAATTAAAACTTTTATAAACTTTAAAAAAATCTCTAAAAGTCACGGTGTATTCAATTAAATTTTTTAAAAATCTCTATAAGTTTTATGGTATTCAATTTTTTATGACTTTTAGAAATTTTTATAAAAGTCTTCATGGCACTAACTTTTAAATAGAAAGTACTAAAATAAAATTTTAAAATTTGTCTCTCATTAATCACAAGATTTTGGGAGACTTTCACCAAAAAAAAGAAAAAAAAAAAAGAAATTAATATGTATTTTTTTTTCAATATTTTTCTTTCATTTTCCCTTCTACGAATTATGATTAAAATTTATTTCTTATAGATTATATAAGTTTCTATTTTTTATTTTTCTCTCTCTTATTGTTTATTTCTATTTTCTATGAAAGAATTAAATTGTATTCTTATAATTTTTTTCTTTTTTCATTTATTTTTTCTGAAAAATATCTGTTTTTAATTAAATTATAAAATTTTGTATAGACTAATTTATAATTAATTTTAAATATATATATTTTATTTATTCTTTAAAGATGTATTATATTAATAATACCGAATATTAAATTTATTTTTTATATGCTATAATAATTATTATTTATTTAATTAAGGTTTTAAGTTTTTATTCTTTTTAAAATATATTTTTTATTAAATGGGGGTAAAGGAAGGAGAAGGGGAATTGTGACAATCACTACCTCGTATATGATAATTTTACAATATTGTACTAGATCTACATAAATTATATCTCAAATGAAAATTTTCAAAAATCTTTTGAATTTTACGAAAGTCTATAAAAGTTTTAAATGAAAATCTACATAAGATTTTCACTAATTCCATACTACGAAAACCACATAAGTTGTCACTTAAAAAATGTCTTTCGAAATTTTCGAAAGTCCCAATTGAAATTTGAATACATCCCTAGAGCAGATATGAACTTGTTTAGAATTGAAAGGCTTTTGTCCGGCTGCCACAAAGTTGTATGGAGTTTAATGCAATCCAATCGAATCACTGTTCCCATTTCTCACAGTAGACATTTCGACATTTCGACAGTCAGTAGAATGATAGGTAGAGGCTCCTATGTGGGTTCGGGTTGGCAACGCGGGGAGCCTGCAATACCACAAAT